AATAAACCAGCTCGAGAAGAGTATCATACCAAGCTGGTTTTTTTTTTTAAAGAATTATTTTATGTAGCTTTTATTTATTTTAATTTGACTAGAGAGGGACAGAGTGAGAGAGAGGAAAAGGGAAAGTGAGGAAGCAAGTCGCCAAGCCCAGGACTTGAACTGTGGTCGACCGTGTGGGTGTACAACACCCTTAACCGTCACACCATCCTCCAGCCCCCAAACTGGTTTATACCCTTGCTTTCTTAATATCTTAAAAACAATTAACTTTAACAATGTTGCCATCGACAATCCAGCCCCCAGACTCTGGGTTATGCACATGAGATCGTAAGGAAAAACACCTGGACCACTGAAGGCAGAGGCAACTCCCACTTCCCAAATGCTTCCCAAGCTAGAGCGCAGGCACCATTGTTGACTGAGTTGTAACACCGAGTCGCTGTGATGATGACTTCCTCCCCGATTGTGAGTCCAGGAGTGTTTCCGTGACACATGGCTTTAAGTCACTAGGAGCGAGTGATGAGTAGGAGGGAGCAGACTGATAATAGAAGAGACAAAAGAAACTCTGAGCACAACTGTGGATTCAGAAAGCTGCAGTGCCATAGAAAAACTGACCCTGATGCCTGAGAGCCAGGCTCCTTAGCTGGCCTACTGGGGGGATCTGGGAGCTTGGGAAACAGCACTCAACTTCCAAAGTGGAAAAACACGGATGAAGCTCACGCCCAGATGGAAAAGTTCTGATCAGAGTCATATGCTTTGACACAGGTTTAGAAATGGGATTGAGGGACCAGCAGTTGGCGTAATGGCTGTGTTGCTGGACTCCCATGTAGTTGACCACAGTTCGAGTCCCAGACCTGGTGGCTTAAACACACACCGGACATGTGTGCGTGTATGCCCAAGATCCCGAGAGGAGAATGGAAGAGAAGGGATTGCTGGGTGGCCATCCCCCCTGAGGGATGATTTCTCACTTTCTGTTTCTCTACCTATCTGTCTTTCTGGCGAGCACACGTACCCTCTAGCAAAAACCTCTCCAAAAAAGAAAGAAATGGGATTGAAAACAGCAGTCAAAAGCCCAATGATGGTGGTGGTGGTGGGTGTCTTTTACTGAGCATTGCCTGTGGGCCAGCCCCTCTGCCACCTTAGTACCCACAGTCCCCCATGCTCTCCTCCTCACCGTCTTACAGCACAGGGACACGTCTCTCTTACAGATGAGGGAAGCAAGAATCAATGGAGTTAGTCAGCCTGCCCAAGGTCACGATGCTAGAAAGCACAGAGCTGGGGTTTGTCGAGTTTACCAGGATTGAGTTCCAGTGAGTCACAAACCCCACGTCATCCCCCACAGGCAACTCTGCACATCCTGCCTCGTTTTTTTGCCCCCACAGTGGCAGCTTCAGCACAGAAGGCAGCCTGACTGCGTGTGCTGCACTCAGAGGGGTGGGCTGGTGGCAGAGGGGGCGACACCAAAGGAGAAGGGAAGGAGGAGGCCCTGACTGTCTCTGGAAGGAAGAAATAAAAAGTTACCTGAAGCCTTCAATCTCAAGACCGCCCTCGGCCATTTTTGCTTCCTGATCAGACACTTAGAGCCATAGAAATACTGATGTGTAGAACTGAAAGGACTCTTTCAAAAGTCCAGGGTAAGAGGAGCCACTGGTGGTTGTGAATTACAACTCGGCGACTTCTCCTCCTCTGCCTGAAACAACAACAACGACAACAAAACTCGTTCACGTTAGCAAACACATCTAACCCCCCACCCACCAGGGGAGTGGGGGGAGCATGGCTAGGCTTGTGCTATTTCTAGGACTAGGAGTCTGGATTTAGCTCTGTCCCCAAGTTCCTTTTCAGCAAAGCTGTAACTTCAGTGGTTGATGTACACAGAAAGATTGCTCAGTCTTACCAACGTAAAAATTAGCAAGTCCCTACCTTGCCACCGGTTGGTTCTCCTGCTCCTCTACTAGAGGAGGAAAAAGGAACCAGAGGAGAAAAAAAAAATTTTTTTTTTCAATATTACTAACCAATCTACTCCTCCTCCCCTTTTGGTAAAGAAATATTTAAGACGTATGCATTCCTGGAGAGAATTTTCAAAAAACACTCAGCCCACAAGAATTCTGTTCATCCCACAAAATCTGCCTTGGTCCTGTGTGCATTTGCTAACACGGGCGCCTCCACTTTCAGCCCATCAGCATTTTCTTCTTTTGCCTTTAATATCAGTCAGTTAGGATGACCCACAGACTCTGCATTTGGAAACGCCACTCAACACCACAGCTCCTCCCAAACGGGGGCTCCCATCTGAGGTCGGTGTACAAAGAACAAAGAAAAGAGGCACACATTAAGTTCTCCAGCTGACTCCTTTTAAGTGTACCTTGCTTGCTTGCTTGCTTGCTTTCTCCCGCCAAAGGGTGTGTGCACTCGCTGGAGAGAGACAGAGAAAGTGAAAAAGCACTCTTTCTGCTGGGGAATGGTCATGCTGCAATCCCTTCTCTATCTGTCTCTCTCGTCATGATTTTGGGCATCCACACACATGTGCCTGGCGTGTTTTTCAAGCCACCAGTCCAGAACTCTAACCATGGCAGTTGGTAATGTGGGATCCAACCATCTTCACCACCACACCACCAACTGCCCCTATTTGGTGCTTTTTTGTTTAATTTATTTATTATAGTTGCTGTCTAGTATTCCTGGGATTTTCTTGCTTAAATTTTTTTAATGATAGTATATGCATGTATGCGTGCACACACAGGAGAGAGAGAAGCATCTCCCTGACAGTGTCTTGTCATGTCTCAAGCTCCTTTCTCCAGTCCTCCAGCACCTGGGGATCCTGGGCACCTGAGCACACACATCTGCTATGTTTTCCGGCCAACTCAGGGGTCCAAACTTGTGGTTGGCCGTATGGCTTCCAGATCGCTGGGCACTGCCTTACTGCTGTCACAGTGGCTGGGCCTCTTGCTGAAATGACTAAAACAAGCACTGCCCAGTATTCATTACAGTGGCTTACTGTCTACATGGCATAATTTTTGAAAAGGGGACGAAGTGTGATATAGAAAAAAACAATCATTTGAGAGTACTCTCCCTTTCCCAAGCAAGGTGGGGGAGGACTATATCTCCCTGCAGGGCATCCAGGTTCCACTTGCTGCAGGTGACCATCTGGCTGTTGAGGACAAGCCCGGCCAGGGCTCGCCAGCAGTCCCCATGTGACCAGCCGTTCCAAGTGGTAAATGTTTGTTAGCGTCAGGTCACTTCTGTTCTTCACCCGGATCATAATATTAGGCTCTCCACGTGGCACAAAATTCCAGTAAAATCTCCGCATTACGAAAGGAGATGCTTTTTCTAACAGAGGGGGACAAGTGCTAAAGAAATCTTTCTCTTCCAGCCAGGAAGGGGAGAGTCAGGACTCTTTTAGAAATAGTAATGCTTGCCTTTACACTGCTTTTTTTTTTTTTTTTTTTTTTACTATGACAGTGGATAATTTGGCTTGAGTATAATTTGTCAAAGGTGAATTGGGTCACTGTATCTACAACTATGGAAACACTTGAAGTTTTACTATTTTGGGGTACTTAAAATGTCTGTTCCAATGTTTACAGCATATGATATCCTCAGGTTTGTTCAGTCCTAGTACTAAAGAAGTTTTTTTGTTTGCCTTTTTTTTTTTTTTTGGTCAGTGGTGTGTATTCTTGTCAGAGAGAGAGAGAGAGAGAGAGAGAAAGAGAGCTCTCCAACAGGGCATGGTCACATTGCAATCTTTTTTCCACCATTTCTCTGTCCCATCTGTCAGGGTTTGGGGCATGCATGCACGCATGTGTGCCTGGCATGTTTTCCAAGTTGCCAGCACTGGGAGTCTGACCGTGGTGAACCATGTGGGATCTGACTCCCCATGCACAGGGTTTAATCATTGTGCTAAGGGCCAGCCCTAGAGAAGAAATATTTTGGTACTAGAGTCTATCTTAATTTTGTTAAGAAAAATGGAAACATTGCTTATGCTAGTTATTATATTTTCATTAATTTGCATTTAGGGATTGATATTTTCCTCTGAAGCAAAAATGCAATTCAGCTAACATTAAATGCTAGGTACTGGGGGATTCAAGAGATAAGAGATAATCTTCACTCTCAGTATTCTTGCCGATTAACAGGAGAAACAGGCTCAAAAACAAAACAAAATGGCTAACTACAATAGGGGGAAAATATTGCATAATTCAAGCTATGTATAAAGGAGCAATTGAGGCCAGCAGATGGTGTGGAGGTTGAGGCAGCTAAATCCCACAGGGCCAGCTGTGCAGTTCAAGCTCTGGACCCAGTGGCTTGAAAATTGTTCTGGTTCATGTGTGCTTGACCAAAATCCTGAGAGGAGAATGGAAGAGAAGGGATTGTGGTGTGGTCATCTCTCAGGGGGATGATTTTTCACTTCCCCCCTCTCTCTTTCCCCCCCCCCCCCCCCAGCGAGTGCACGTGCTCTATAGAAAAAAAAAAAAGTAATCAACTCAGTCTGGGAAAGATTAGTAAGGCAGAAAAAATTAAAGAGAAGCAAGACCCCATGAGCAGGCTCTTTAGTAAATCAGGATTTGCCAAGAGAACTTCTTATGGAGCGTATTCAAATGGAGGGAGCAGCATGTGCTGAAGCTCTGACATATGAAAATTCTTATCCTATCATGAGGTCGTCCCAGTAGGGTCAGAGGGAGGAGCTATGAAGAGAACAAGACTGGAAGGAGGGGTTAATAAGGCGTGTTAGGTACACCTTCCTTGAGAAGGCAATTGTTAGGTAAACCCTTGATGAAATGCCTCCTATATGCTTATTGTTTGATTTTATTAAAACAATGTCTAACATTTTTGGCCTGGGATTTGGGGCAAAGGGAAGAGAAAGTGACACCTAGTCTTTCCACTTGGTAACAGGTGTCCAAGAAACACTTTGAGATGTATATCATTTATTTCATGCTCCTCCCAATTGGAATTAAGCATAAAGGTACCAAAGCTACTCATAGACCTAAGACAAAGAAACTTTTTTTTTTTTTAATGTCCAGGCTTGTTTGAGACGACAAGAACCTAGAAGAGATTCAAATGAGAAGAAACGAGATCAACTTCAGGGGCAAGAGACAAATATTGAGAGATCCAGATTTTCAAGTGGATCATCTTCTAGACAGGTATGGGAAAATCTGGGAGATATTCTCCCACTGCTGTGTGTGTGTGTGTGTGAGAGAGAGAGAGAGAGAGAGACTTAAGAAAAAACTGATTCAAAAAGATGTTGCAGAATCCTAAAGGTCAAGGCAAGGAGAGACAGGAGCAAGAGGCCAGGGCTGAGCCAGGCACTCCCATCCTGGACACCATCCCTGCTGCTCCTGAGCTGCATGACCTTCCCACTTCCCATTGGTTAGAGTTTTTTCCTGTAGAGAAAGTTCTGACCTAAATAGTCTGTGAGAGGCACCATCCAGGGTCAGAAAAGTTGTGTGTGTGTGTGTGTGTGTGTGTGTGTGTGTGTGTGTGTATATACACACATATATATGTTAAATATATACATATATATACATGTTAAATATCATGTAATAATTGTATATATTTGTGGAGATACAATGTGATTTTTTAATACAAGAATGTAATATGTGATGATTAAATCAGGATGATTAATATCCCTATCGTCTTAGCCACTGTTATTACTTTGTGTTGGCAACATTCAAAATCCTTTTTTTATTTATTCTAAAGTCTATAGTAATTTACTGTTAACTATATTTTCCCAACTGTATTATATAACACTAGAAATTGTTCTTCCTAACTGTCTATAATTTTGTTTCCCTTTGTCAACATCCTTTTGACTCCTCCTCTCATCCTTCCCAATTTCTAGTAGTCTTCCATTTTCTCTCTACATAAGAGGTTGTTTTTCTTTTTTTTAATTGCCACATATGAAGGACAACATGTGGTATTTTTCTTTCTGTGCCTGGCTTATCTTATTACCATAATGTCCTCCAGGCTCACCCATTTAATCTCAAATGACAAGATATTCTTTTTAGTGACTGAATAGTATACATATATAATATATGTGCTATATGTATATGTAATATATGTGCTATATGTGGATATATATATATGTATATATGTGATATATACGTATATATACAGCACCTTTCCCCTGCCTCTTCATCTGTTGGCAGACAGTTAGGTTGATTCCATATCTTGGCTACTGTGCGTAGCGCAGCAGTAAACATCAGGATCCAGAGATCTTTACAACACACTGATTTCCTTTCCTTTGGACATAGGCCTTGCAATGGAATGGCTGGGCCACTGGAATCTTTGAGTTTAAGAGTTGGAGACACAGGGCCTTCTCAAGCATAGCATCATCTCTGTGGCTTATGACTGGACCTGTTCCATTGTTGGGTCTAGTTTTCATTTCAAACAAAGGGAGGGAGTAAAATGCAGTCATAATTACATCCTGCAATCATTGGTACTTATTTAAACATGTCTGTCTGGGATGATAACTACAAGAAGAGCAATATACTGGATTGTTGGAAAAGTTGTGACACATTTTGCATAGAAAAAAGTCATGACTTTTCCAACCACCCAATAATATTATAGCAATATGATGATGATAATAATAGCAGTAGCAGTCATTATTATTTGCATGTTGACAACACTTCAGGCACTGGCTCTCACCTACCTATGTGAGAGACACCTATGTGTATGTAGATAAATATAGATATTTCTACAGACATCTACCTATATCCATTTATATATGTATACATATATATGTATGCATAGGTCTAATTGCTCCATTTTACAGATGAGAAATTGGGTCTTAGAGTAGTGAAGGAACTTCACCTAAGATTTCACAGCCAGTATGTGATGGGGCTCAGATTTTATTCCCGGCAGTCTGACCCCAGAAGAAGTGCTCTGAACCAATAAACCATAGGGCCATATTTCATGTGTAAGATCTTATCTGTCTAAGAATTTTACTTATCCTAAGTAAGAGCTAAATACCACAAGCTGCATTCAATGCTGGTTGTTAGCATAGTGAACTGATTTAAGATGAGTAATATGCTTTGTATGAATTCTTATTTAATATTTTATGCTTGAAATATATTCTAGAGGAGGGACTCTATTTCCTATCAGTGGTGTGGATCCCTGAGATAGATCCTGAATACCTGATATCAATCAAGTTCTTGTTGGGATTTCTTCTTTAATCTAGGATGTTCACACTGCGGTTATTTAATGTTCAAAGGGCACCTTAAAAACATCAATGATTGATGTTTATGGATGTAGTCGTATCCCTGAGAGAGATATATACTCCCTATTAAGGAATATAAAATCACACAATAAAATATCCCACCTAGAGTCTGAAGGTGAAAGAGGCTATCTCACAATATTGGCAACACTGAGAACATGTTGCCTGAATCTTTTCCTCTTACTTGAATCTTTTCCTCTTACTATATATAATGTCTGCTGCTGATTAAACTTAGGGAATGAGATTAACCCCCAAATTAAATGTAGTTTGGCTGGAACAACACATTTTTAACATTCAGGCAAATTCTCACATTTATACACTTAGAAACAGAAATCAAGGACATAAAAAATGTAATGTAATTTAAGTCAAACGGTAGCATATAGAAATCTTCCTAGATTGGAACTGCCAAACAAACGGCAGCCGGGCTCTTGTTCTCATGGGGTCTCAGTGCAAAGTCACAGCCCTTTTCTTTGGTGGTGCTCCTGCATCTGAGGTACTCAGTTTTATACTTCTCTCCACAACTTTGGGGGACAAGCTGGTGTCAGAGTCCTGAGGTTTCCTTCTTAAGGCTGCAAAAATTATTTATTCTTTAAGTCATCCTTCTAAAACACTCTTATCACTTCCTAAACAGGACATAGTAGTACCTATAAAGGTAATTATGTAGGACTGGCCTCATAACCTGGAGGTTAAGGGAGCCAGATCCCACGTGGCCAACTGTGGTTTGAATCTTACCCTGTGACTGGAAAAACATACCAGACACTTGTGCTTTCATGCCGAAGATCCCAACAGGATGGAGAAATGAAAGAGAAGAGATAATGTTGTGACCACACCCTACTGGGGGTGCTTTTTCCCTCCCTCTCTCTCATGGCAAGCGCACATGCCTTCTGAAATTAAAAAGAAGTTATCATGGGCACCAGCAGGTAGCATGGTGGTTAAGGTGCTGGACTCCCACATTGCCGACTATGGTTCAAGTCACAGACCTGGTAGCTTGCTTTCTTTCTCTCTCTCTTTCTCTCTCTCTTTCTTTCTGTTTCTCTCTCTCTCTCTCTCTGGTGAGGGCATGTGCCCTATAACAAATTTTAAAATAACAATAAATAATAAATTAAATAATTCTTTTTTAAAGGTAATTATGTAAAATAACTTCTATAGTAACAGATAATATGGATCTCATCTTCCAACTCTTACTTTTATCATTCTTTTATACCCAACACAAATTAAAGCCCAAAATATACAGTAAAATGCATGAAACAGGCCATTTCTATGCTAATCTACAAGGACAGGATGTTTCGTGTTTGCACTATGTCACTGTACCTCGTGTGTCAGAGAACAGAAAATGCTGCTTACAGAATCTCCATTTATTCCAGATAATGATATCACAAGGGTTTGGGCCTTGATTGGACAAGTGCCTTCAAGTCCCCATTTTCTCTATCAGAAAGAGCAACAAAATCAGGATTTTCCACAATGAAACTCACCCCTATTTTGCTCTCTGCATAACAGATAGTCTTCAGGGGATACCGAAGGATTTGACTCTGGGCACAAAAGCAGGAAGGGTGAGGGGAGAGGAAATGTCCACCCTCCACAATCATCTGACGTATGTGCTCATATGCCACCCTGCCTGGCTCAGTCCTTTAACTTTTCTTGGTACAAACAAAGCCAGAAATCCCTTATAAGATTCAAGCCAAATAAGAAATCTTCAAACACTACCATCATGAGCTGTGTGGAGACCCCTACCCAAATATCTATCAAAAATCTGTTGGTTCTTTTCTTTGTTCTTTTTTTTTTTTTTTTTTTTTTTTTTCAGTTTGCTATATATAGAGAGAAAGTGAGAAATTACCCCCAGAGGGGATGGCCATGCTGCATGTTGCAGTCCCTTCTCCTCCATTCTCCTTTTGGGGTTTGGGGCATGCACCCAGCATGATTTTTCAAGCCAACGGGTCTGGGACTCAAATTACCCAGCTGGTCACGTGGGATATAGCCATCTTAACCTCTGCACCACCTGCCGGCCCAACACCCAGTATGTTTTCAAGCTGCCTGGGTCAGGACTCAAACTGCAGTCAGCCATGTGTGGTCTGGCTCCCTTAACTATTGCACTGTGGTCTTGAACTTTCAGAGTGTGGGTCTGCCCTCTTGTAGCTCAAGTCCTGGGGGGATGCAGGTCTTATTAAACTTCTTTGCAAATGGTCCACAATGCCATGAAGTTCCTGGAGCTAGTCTCCCAGAGGAGTCTGTGAGCAAGGAAGCTGGCACCTCTCAAAGGAGAAGCCAGGCCAGAGAGATACAATTTCCCAAGCTCAGTGTATTGAGCATAGTACATGAATCAGGCCCTAGAGTTGCAACAGCCCCTCCATCAATCAGAAAGGAGTGGAAGAAAGATACAGTTTAGTGGGATGGTATACATTCCTCCCTAGGTGGAAAGTCTCTGAGTAATTTCCTCCTAGAGATTGCTGTGTCTGGGAATTCTTAAGTAACACGTTGCCTCTGATCTGTGAAGGCAGGTTCACTCTCTGATTGAGTGGCTAGTTTGTAAGTGAATTGCTTCACCCAAGAAAATGTTTCCAGTGTTCTGTCCCTATGTAAAGCGTGCCACTACCCAATTTTGACACTTGTATTGCAATTTGCATCACTTGTTCATTTCTTAACCCAGACTCAAATTGTCACAATTTTGATGAGCCTGGAACAAGCGAGGCATTTACCATCAAGTAACAGCTCCAGTGTCAAGCTATCATTTCCAGACACCTGCTTAGCAGTGGGCAGGTCCCCAAACACGGTTAGCCTAGTGGCAGCAGGGCCCAACCTCCTTGCTACAACAACCAGTGGCTCCAACTGCTTGTTGTGCAGAGGTTGTATTCAATCTAAATCCAAGATGAAGCAATACCTGGCAAGCTCGTGCTGAGATGTTTTTTAAAGTGGTACCTCCTAAATACATTCAAG